ATTGATAGGAAGATCAGACACAGACTCTCTAAAAATTGAGAGATAGCATAGAAATAGACGTCCACCAGGAATTACAGCAGAACTTCCAAGAGATGTGATTGTCTATTTTCATTATCATGAGGAAAGAGAGAGAATATGAAAAAAATTGCATGAGACATCCAAAATGAAATTTGGCGAAAAGAACTTGCAAGTTTTTGCGGATATAACTTCTACGACTCTGGCCAGAAGAAGACTGTTGAAACCGTTACTGGATCAGATGAGAGAGAAAAGAGTTCAGTATAACTGGGGGGTTCCCAGTGTGCCTGATTGGGTAAAAAGATGGGAAATCGGCAAGGTTGAGATTTCCAGAAGAATTAAGAGACTTTTGTGAAAAACTAGAATTGCAGAATGTGGATATTGTGAGGTGGTCAGAAGGGTCTAAGGAGAGAGCAGAATTAAGAAATGAGAAATGGTAGCAAGTAAATAAAAGGAGAAGATAGCCAGAGATGGGGTCGGGAGGGAGGATGGGGGGCAGGGGTGGGGAGAGGAAGGGTGAGGAAGGGGAAGCCAATTTCCAGCACTGCCGTATGGGTTGGGTAGGCGGGTAGTTTTTTTCTCTCTGCCTTCTCTCTTCCATCTATCTTCCCCTTTGTTTTCCATCTGCTTTCCTTGAGGAAACCTGAAATGGCGGGACGTCTGGAGGCCAAACAGGATACAAAATCAAAAACCTCCACGCTGAGAGAGGAGGGCCAGAATAGGCGTGTATTTTCAGAGCCATACCCTAAAACAGGAATCACTAGTGGCGTAATCCTGCATCTGATTCCAGGGCAATATATAGGGGATTCTTAAGAGTAAGTTGGGTATGGGATGGGGGGTTGGATATGGGAGGATGGGAGGGAAGCAGTGCAGTGCGGGGTAGGGTAGCTGTCCATGATTTTAATAGCCTATGAATTATTACCCATAAAGGGAAATGTAGAGGAGAAGACAAATAGTAAATAGAAATGTGCTTGAATAATTTTATGACATAATGTGAAGGTCTAAATTCTCCAACTAAAAGACACAAGATACTGAGGGAGGTACACCAACATTCTACGGATGTGGTATTTCTACAAGAGACACACCTATCTTATGATACCAATGTTAAGCTATATTCAAGGTACTATCCAACCTGGCATTATGCAAATTCACCAAAAAAGAGGGCTAAAGGAGTTACAATCGGATTCTCAAAAAATATAGGTTTTGAGGATGAGGAGAAATTGGTATCTAGGTTTGAGAAGAAGAAAAATGCAGGGACAAAAATATACATTGGTTAACATCTATTGCCCAAATTAAAATCCAGAAGTATTTCTTCGGGAAAATTATGAAATTTAAGAGGGGTAGTTTGATCATGGCAGGAGATTTTAATTTTTATTTGGATCCATGGATGGATGTGTCTTCGAGTGCGCAGAGAGAGGGAGGTAGAAAATTAAGAATGTTGAAAAGGAGGTTACATCAAAATCAATGAATAGATACATAGAGAGTGAAACACCCTAGAGATTATACCTTCTTATCTTCTGTGCACAGATCGTATTCACAACTGGACTATATTCTAATAGAGCATAGACAATTGGAATCTTTGGTTAAATCTGAGATAGAGGTTATGTCTACCTCAGATCACGCTCCTGTCACGGCGAGACTACGGTTAGGAGGTGAGTGGAATAAGAGAGCTATGTGGAGATTAAACACTTATACAAGATCCCGAAAATAGAGAAAAGTTAAAGCGGAGTTCCAGCTGGAAAAAAAGTCAGCAGCTACAAAAACTGTAGCTGCTGACTTTTAAAATACAGCCACTTACCTGTCCCTCAGTCCAGTGGTGTCATCACCACCGCTGGTTTCACCAGCCGTCTTCCCTCCCTGGTGCCGGCATCTTTAGTGTGGGCACCCGGCTGTGACAGCTTGTGGCTTCACAGCTGGGTGCCCACTGCACATGCGCGAGAAGCGCTACACTTTGTGACTGGCCCCGTAGTCTTCTGGGACCTGTCACGTGTCCCAGAAGACTACGGGGAGGGAGGACAACTTTCCCCCCCCCCGCTCCCCAAAGGTGCCAATCCTTAATGGGGAGCGGGAGTCAATGCATTAAAGTGGAAATTCCCCTTTTGGGTGGAACTCCGCTGTAAGGGAAGAGATAGAGTAATTTTTTGCTCCGAATGAAACCGAAGACGTATCTGTGGCTACTATATGGGAGGCACATAAGGCCTACGTGAGGGGAATCTTGATAGCTGTAGGGACAAAAAAAAAGAAAGAACAAGGGAGGGAGAAAACTAAAGGGGGGTAACGGAAGAATTATACAAATTAGACATAGGCATATAAAAAAAGCAGGATATAGACTTACAACAGAAGATTACCCTCCAAAGAGAAGAACTGAAAGATCTATTGGAACACGAAACAAGGAAAGTCTTTAATAGAGTTTCAAAGGAAAGATACCAGTGGGGGAATAGACCAGGAAAATATCTTATGAAAATATTGAAGGAAAAGAAATAAAAAAAATGTATAGAAAAAATTAAATATGATAAAGGGGAATTGGTATACTCCACCACTGGTATCACTAACACATTTCAAAGGTTTCATAGTAGGCTTTATGAGGTGAATCCTATAAATCTGAAAGTAACAGAGGAAGAAAAGAGAAGGAAAAGGCAAGAAATCTTAAAGGCAGCAGATCTACCAAAAATATCAGAAGCAAAATTAGTATCCCTAGAATGAGTAATTTCCCAGGATGAAATTAGAATGGCCCTGAGGAGTACAGCAGGAGTAAAGAGCCCAGGTCTCGATGGATATACAGTGGGCTATGATAAGAAATGTAAAGAGTTACTGGTCCCTAGACTCTGTATAAACATGAACGCGTTCGGAGAGGGGATGGAAATGAGAGAAGAATCACTGCATGTGTATATAACAATTATCCTTAAAGAAGGAAAGGATAGTTCAAAATGTGCCAGTTATAGACTTATTTCACTATTAAATATAGATACAAAATTATTTGTGAAAGTGCTAGCTACCAGGATGAAAGAGCTGATGCCTGAGTAGATACATCTAGATCAAGTGGGTTTTATCCCAGGGAGTGAAGGGAGAGACAACAGTTTAAGAACACTGCTCCTTTTACAAAAAGAAAAAAGAGTAAAGCAGCCAACAATTATATTGTCGACTGACGCAGAAAAAGCTTTCGACAGGGTAGATTGGGAATTTATGATAAATTCGCTAGCGGTATTAGGAACAGGGGAAAAATGGTAAGGTGGATAAAAAGGCTTCTTTATAATAGCCCTTCAGCAGCAGTTAAGGTAAACAGGTCCCTATCAGGGACCTTTACAATGTATAATGGCACTAGACAGAGATGTCCATTATCCCCGTTGCTATTTGTCTTATCCCTGGAACCACTTTTGTCGGTAAAAAAAAAAAAAGCGAAAATATTACAGGAATTAAGATAGGAGAAGTAGAGCGTAAAGTAGCAGCGTATGCAGATGACATGCTGTTTTACATTGTGAACCCTAGATTGACATTGCCTAATCTAATGGGTTTATTAAAACACTACGGAGAGCTGTCAAATCTGAAAATAAACCCTTCAAAATCTGAGATCTTAAATTTCAATGTTTCAAAGGTAAAAATGCAGTCCTTGCAAGAAGACTTTCCATTTACATGGAGGGAGAGGGAATTACATTATCTGGGAATAAATTTAACCTCCTCAATAAATAACTTGTATCAAATAAACTATATCCCATTAATAAATGAAATTAAGGATGAGTTGAGAGGACTCTCAATGTGCTGGGTCTCATGGATGGGGCGTATAAATCTGATTAAGATGGTGATAGTCCCAAAAATCCTGTATACATTCCAATTGCTCCTCTCTATGGTAAAGAAAAACCAATTCACAACATCCAGACAAGTGAAGGACACTCTCCAGGAGGTGGGCGTATCATTGTCAAAGTCTACAATCAAGAGAAGACTACACCAGAGCAAATACAGAGGGTTCACCACAAGGTGCAAACCATTCATAAGCCTGAAGAATAGAAAAGTCAGATTAGACTTTGCCAAAAAACATGTAAAAAAGCAAGACCAGTTTTGGAAAAGCATTCTTTGGACGGATGAAACTAAAATAATCTGTACCAGAATGACGGAAAGAAAAAAGTGTTGAGAAGGTTTGGAACAGCTCATGATCCAAAGCACACAATGTCACCTGTAAAACATGGTGAAGGCAGTGTAATGGCATGGGCATGCATGGCTTCCAGTGGCACTGGGTCTTTGGTGTTTATTGATGATGTGACAGAAGACAGAATCAGCATGATGGATTCTGTAGTGTTTAGAGATATACTGTTAGCCCAGATTCAGCCAAATGCAGCAAAGTTGATTGGGCGGCGTTTCACAATACAGATGAACAATGATTCAAAACACACTGCAAAAGCAACCCAGGAGTTTTTGAAAGAAAATAAGTGGAATATTCTGCAATGGACAAGTCAATCACCTAATCTCAACTCAATTGAGCATGCATTTCACTTGGTGAAGGCTAAACTAAAGGCAGAAAGACCCACAGGCAAAGAACTGAAGACAGCTGCAGTTAGAGCCTGGCAAAGCATCAGAAAGGAGGAAACCCAGTCTTTGGTAATGTCCATGGGTTCCAGACTTCAGGCAGTCATTGCCAGTAAAGGATTCTCAACAAAATATTAAAAATGAACATTTTATTTATGATAGTATTCAATTGTCCAATTACTTTTAGTCCCTTGAAAAAGGGTGGATGGTTACTCTTAGGAGCTGTAATTCCTAAACCCTTTCTTCAATTCGGATGTACATACCCTCAAATTAAACCTGAGAGTATGCACTTTCTGCCCATATCTATTATATAGCTATAGCTTGAGTATGTTTTTGTAAATACCTGAAAAAATCAAAAATTGTGCCTGTGTTCAAATATATATGGACCTAATTGTATACTGGAATTTTTATTTTTATTTTTTTATACTAGTAATGGCAGAGATTAGCAATTTATAGTGGGACTGCAAGACTTCAGCAGGCATTCTGAAACTGGGTGGGAACTAACTAACTGCCACTGACATCCCCAGTGACACTAATACAGTGATCAGTGCTAATAAAAATCACTGACACTGTACTAATGACACTGGGCAGGAAGGGGTTAACATCTGGGGCCATCAAAGGGTTAACTGTGTACTGTGTGTGTTTTACTATGTGTGCTGTTTTATAATGGAGACATGCTGCTTTGTAGTTCTCTGCTGTGCAGAGAACTACAAAGCAGCCTGTCCTTGCTGGCAGGAGAGAGGCCTATGTTGTTTACACACAGGCCTCTCCCCTGTCAGCTTTACACAGATATTCCCCACTGGCACCTGGTGATTGACATCCCTAGCCGCCAATGGCAGCATGGGTAGGCAAGCAAGCGTGCCCCTTACCTGGAAATGCACCTTGCGTATATATACACGTGATTTTGTGCAGCCCTGCCACCCTGTAGCAGTAGTTCTACTACAGGGCGGTGGGCAAGCGGTTAATGTGTAATATTTGTACTCACATAGGGAATATTGGCCCGTTTCATGTTTTCATATAAATCAGCAATTTCTGCATCATTCTTGTATCCATAACGACACAGCTGGAATCCAAGAGCCCAGTAGGATGGCATTACTGGACGTCCAACAAGCTGAGAAAATGAAAAAACAAACAAAAGACTGTATAGAAGGTTTTTTATATGTACTCAACCATTCTAGTCAAAACAAAAGGCTACTTACTGCTGTGTATTGTTGGACAACATCTTCTGGTTTGGGACCCAAAACTACATAAAAATCTAAAATTCCTCCAATAGTGCGGTATGTTAGAGCAGGTGTTTCCTGTAGTGTCAAATCTGACAGTAAAAAGGTAAATGTTACAGATACAGGAAATGATTAACACTGAATAAAAAAAATATAACTTAAGGTTCTGTTTTTGTAGGTTATGATAATGTAGAATAAATCCAGGTAGCGGGTGTTCTGGTGCATTATTGTTATGCCTGAATGAAAACCCAAAATCTTTTTCAGGTAGACCATTTAATTTGTAAGAATTTTAGGACTAAAAGCAGACCTTGCAATCCAAGCAAGTTAAACTAGAGTGTCCTCCTCCTTTTATAATGCTGCGGGGGATGCTAAGTGATCCAAATCCAACAAGACAACATGCACCACTGTGAAGTATTGTCTTTTCATGGTATTTAGGCTACTCATCATCCTTCAAGATCTGGTCAAGGATGTCATTTTTGCCTAGGCATTAGGGGCAGAAGGCAGGGAAAAGGTTTAGTATAATATCCTAGGAAAACCAAGGAAAGGTAACTATAGCAGCCTAACCTTTTTGTCCCACAGGTTTTGTATCAAAGTTTATTTCATGGCTATAGCAAGTGGGGGGTACACTAAGCAAGCGGACTTTTCTATTTAGTTGCAAGGTCCCCTTTAAATTGCCAATTCAAGTAAAAATGTATTCTCAAGTTCTCTATTATATGAACTATCCATATATTCTACAGTACTCTTATGGATGTAAGCATCCTCCATTTCCACAGTTTAACACATCTCCCTTCATTTCCCCTGAAATCGTGGTAATGATACTTCCCCAAACTGATGTGTGATTTCAAGGAGTGAATTACAGCAATCTTCTAAACTACTGCAGCTTAGGTCTAATTTGTTTCATGTTTTCACTTAACCTTTGGGGTCAGTTTGCTTCAATTAAATTTTGTGAAAAAAGACTAGCACTTTTTTGGCATATCCCCTCTGGACATTCAAAGCAGACTTCTATATAATCTTACCCATAGCATTGCTGTTCAACAGAAGAACACCATGTGCATTTCCTGTGTTATCAAGCCCCATATAAAATGGTTGAACGCCATAAGAGTTTAGATGATCCTAGAGAGAGAGTAAAATTAAATATATTTGTTAATGTTTGTATATGTACTTGTACAGAAGTTCCCCTTTGGGAACATGTTACATGTTCCACCCGTTTTTAGGGTGGAATATGTAACATGTTCCCGATCCAGCAGCTGCCCCCCCCGTCACTTTTCAAAAACAGCGCAGGCGTGCAGGGCTCCACCCACACATCTGCTTCGTTCATTCACAGTCCTCTGTGAATGAATGGACTACAGGTCCTGACAGCCTTAGTTGCTGACAGCTTGTAGTCCTCAATGAACTACCACAGCACTGTGCAGCGCTGTGGTAGTTCACGAATTCTTCCTGTCAGAAGTATTGGCTTGCTCCTATGGGATGTACGAGCAAGCAGCTACATTGGCAGTCTGTAGGAGACCTGCATTTGTGTAAAGATGAACTTATACTTTAAACAAACCCTAAATGTATTTCTGTGTGTGCTTCTATACATCTATAAAATACCAAGAAGGCATTTATTACTATAAGTGCTTTTTAACCACAAGCCTACTGGGCACTTATACCCCCGTCCTGCCCAGGCCAATTTTCAGCTTTCAGCGCTGTCACACTTTGAATGACAATTGTGCGGTCATGAAACACTGTACCCATATGCAATTTTTATCATTTTTTTGAGACAGATATAGCTTTCTTTTTGGTGGTATTTAATCACCTCTGGGGCTAAACAAACCAAAAACAAATGAAGCGTTTGAAAAAAAAAATTCTCTTAGTTTAAGGTATAAAATCTTGTAAATAAGTGATTTTTCTCCTTCACTGATGTGCGCTAATGAAGCTGCAGTGATGGGCACTGATAGGCTGCACTGATAGGTGGCACTGATGGGCACTGATGAGGAGGCACTGGTAGGTGGCACTGATGGGCATTGACAGGCATCACTGATGGGCACTGAAAGGCAGCACTCATATATGGCACTGTTAGGTGGCACTGACGGGCACTGATAGCCAGCACTGATGCGCACTGATAGGTGGCACTAACTGGCAGCACTGATAGGTGGCACTGACTGGCATTGATAGGTAGCACTGACTGGCACTGATAGGTGACACTAAAAGGCAACTCAGATGGGCACTGATATGTGGCATTGATGTGCACTGGTAGGCACTGATATGTGGCATTGATGTGACACTGATGGGCACAGGCAGGTGGCATTGATGAGCACTGACAGCTGGCATTGATGGACACTGACAGGTGGCACTGATGGGGCTACACTGATCATCAGGGCACACTGATCATCAGTGCCCTGATGATCAGTGTACATGTCCCCTCTGAGGAATGCCAATTCCCGGCTCTCCTCTCCTCATGAGCTGTCAGCGTGAGAGAACCGCCTTGCGCCCATCATTTCCTTAAATGGCGGGCGGGAGGCGGTTAAATAAAACTTGTGTTTCCTGCCCACTCAATCAGAATTGCATTTTCACTCCTCCATATTTCAATGAGAAACTGATACAAATTAGATTTGTTGATCTAGCTTAAAGGCGGTGCTGCAAGTCTATCTCCAGTTTTGCTAGGAAAGAAAAATCACCTTCACGTCATTTAATTGCAGAGTTTTACCTTCTGCTGTTTAGCTAAAACTGACATTACCATTATAGTCACTTCCTACTTCCTGAGGGTTAATTGGATTATGCCCCTCATATAATCAAGCTAATCACTGCCACTGTTATAATAAGACAAAACTGCCCGGAAAAAGTTGTGTTCCAATCATATGAGCCTGAAGTTAGACAATGGGGCATCTTCCCCTCCACATTCTCACTGAATACTATGGAGGTAATGACTGAATAAAATTAAAGCCCACAGAAAACAAATTTATGTTGTTAGGTTAGAAAACCAGTAGGTCTATTTTTCAGCACAGAGTACAGTCATCCAGAACACCTCAGATTGTATGTATAACCAAAACCTTTTTTTTTTAGTAGAGTAGTTGCTGTCTGTGTACCTTTGGAGAACTTTCCATTCACTTTATCTCCCAAAGTGAGGGGAATTCCTTTCTTAGGCAACTGTCCCCAGAACAGGTGTCCCTATAAGATGAGTTCTCCTTACCTTTTGTTCAGGGGATAACTCAAAAATTTGGGATTTCCTCTTTCTTTCTAGATGACAGTATATATCTCCCCATTAGGAACACTGACTGCAATAAAACTTGACAGATGGCTAACCCATCCCCAATTTATTCAAAACTTAAAAAAAAGTTGTTCCTTTAGATACACTTTGAGTGCAGGTTTATTTCATATCACATGAAACAGTAATCCAAAATGCCTTAAGTGTTCTATCTTACTGTATTATGTGCTATTGACCACTTCCAGCCAGAGGTATGCATATATGCGGCTTCTCAGCGAGTGGACTTCAATGCAGAGGGCCGCATATATACATAAACACTTTTTTTGTCTTGCGAGCGTGTGCCCTGGGCACTTTCAGCACAGCACCAGGTGGGGACCGAAAAGCTCCTAATACAGACTTGCAATTGGGAGCTTTTCGATCATGTGACTGCTATGACAGCCAATCACAGAGGACACATGACTGAAATGACTGCCTCCTGCTCTTGGCATTTAGAAGCTCCTAAAGGCAGCGGCTGGGGAAAGGGGTTAATTAAACCTAACAGTTCTTGATTTGTACTGTGTGGGCTCATCTTCTATGAACTTTATATTGCTTAATAAGGTTGTGGGAGTCAAAGATGTTATGCAGAAGCATGCAGGAGCCCCTGGTGGTAGACATTTTCTTATTCAACATTACATTCCAAAATAATTTCTGTAGTAATGATACATTGAACACCATTTGTAAACAAAACTGGATTTTGCCTTTAACCTTATGATTGGCATGATGGAGAATATGGAGAATATGTATTTATATTCCAATGACATATATAAAAAACACCAAAGGACACAGATAATAAAACACTCCTCATTAATTTTTTTTTTACATCTGTTTTCTATATTTCCCCCCATCACTAAAATGTAAACTTATACACTGCTGTATTGAGGATTCAACACAGTATATCCACTTACTGCTGGAGGCTGATCTTTAGAAAAAAGACCAATAGGTCTCCGTTTCATTTCTTGGCGGAATGTCTTATGTTCTGTTTCTCCAAGTCCAAAGACATAATCAGAGGGAAGTCGTGTAGAAATCTGAATAAACTGATCTTCAAAGGTCATTCCAGGCAAATCAGAGTCCCAGCTGGTGAACAAAATATGAATATTACACACTGTGTTACATATCATAGGCATATGGATGTCAATGCTTTTGCTAAACAATAAAAAAAAGTATTTGCAGACCCTAAATATAACTATGGAATGAAAGTCTGCCTATGATGTCTGCCTTCCTTTGTATCAAGGGGTGAATTTCCTATTACAGCTCTGCCTAAATCAGCAATTCGCAACCAAAAGTTAGTTTTTTGGTGGATTTTCTATATTAAATTACCTCTGCAAGGTACATGAGTGTTTCAAATGGCTCTCCATTTTGAAAAGTCTATA